GGTGACCCTGCTTCGGCAGGGGGTTTGGACTAGATGACCCACAGAGGTCCCTTCCAACCCCTACTATTCTGTGATTCTGTGACTAGTTTTAGAGATAGGACTTCAACAAACATGTGGACCCTTCAACTTTATAGTGTATTTCTGTTTCGGTTACTAATCTCATAACCTGATGAAATTTTCATGTATGTAAAGTACTGAAATCACAGAATGACTGAATGGTTGAGGTTGGAAGGGATGTCCGGTAGTCATCTGGTGCAACCCCCCCGATCAAGCAGGGCCACCTAGACCAGGTTGCCCAGGACTGTGTCTAGACAGCTTTTGAATATCTCCAAGGGTGGAGACTCCACCAGCCCTCTGGTCAACCTGTGCTAACCCTCACAGCAAAAAAGATTTTCCTAATATTCGGGTGGAATCTCCCGTGTTTCAGTTTGTGTCCTAGTCTATGGCAAAGAGTATAAAAATGAATTCATGACCTCATACTTCACCATGGAAAGGCCTACCCTGCTTCAATGGAGCACATTATAGATTTAGTACTTAGAAAGTACATGAGTAGTCAAATTTCAGGGGCTAAAAAGACAAATAATTTCCCATGTATTTTATTTTTTTCTAAACTGCATGTGTGGTGGTCTTCTCTTCCTTTGGCAATTATGGTACTTTACTAGATTATAAAATTCTGCTTTAATATTTGAAGTTTGGGTGGTGTTTTTAAAATTTAAGATTCTTTATTTATATTACTGGTTCTATGCCATTGATACCAGCTGCAACTGTCTCTATTTTTAACATTAACTTAATAAAGAATTATGAGTTCTCATAGCATATGCATGGCAGAGAAACCATGAGTGTATATATGAGAAATGCTGAGTGGAAAACATCATTCAAGTATTCTTCATTAAGTTGGTTTAAGTTGGTCAAAGTCAAGTCACTTACGCTAAGTAGTCTGGCATCACTATAGGTTTAGGAATGTGGCCTGCAGGTATATGACCATTAAGGAGTTCCGGTTTTCTTTGCACTGATTTAAGCTGCCTGTAGGTGACCTCTTCTCTTGGTCTGTCATCACTTTCATACTGTTTAAAAAGAAAAAAAAAAATTCTTCATTAAGTCAGTTTTACTTCAAATGCAATATATGTAAAGCGCAAAATACCGAATTCATTTGAGAACAAACTGAATTTGAAGACAAAACTTGAACACAAGTATTGAGCAGCAGTAGAGGCAAATCACAGATATTTCTTATGACCCTTATTGTAATTAGAAAATTAGTGAATAGTTACAGTGATGTTTCTCACACAACACCCATCTTCGGTTTGTCCTAACAGCAGTACCAGTGATAGATAAATACTTCTTCAGGCTTGGAAAGATTTGTCTTGTCTCAAAAAAATAATTTAAGTAGGTTCCCTTGGATATCCAATCTAATTTGTGAATGAACAGGAATCACTCAGTTCTCTGCAGTTCCCTTTTCCCCTTTTTTCCTATTGCACAATTTATCCCTTGATCCAGAAATAAAAGCACATGGAGTCTCACTGGAACACATAAAACAGGATTCTGATCCAGTACTGAAGCAACAAAGAAGACAGTAGTCGGAAATTCACAGTATCTAACAAGAAACATTTAACACTGAAATAAATACACCATAGATTCTCTGGAAATCATCAACATCTGCTGTTAGGAGCCTATAAAATCTTTGTAGTGTATGGAACTGCATCTCTGTGTGGCAGAAGTACTAGAATTGCTGATACTTTAAAACAAGCAAGGAGGTCTTTGGAGCAGTCTCAGAGACACACGGACAAGGTCAACTCAGAGAGCACCTACCACAGTGCTTCCACTGGCTCTCCTCCAAATTAAGCAGCCAGCCAGGAGCAAAGAGTCTCTAAAACCTACAACGCCATCAGATGACCTGCTGTTCTAGCCGTGTTCTAGCCAAACTAGGTGATAAATGCTACAGAACTTGTCACTTCAGGAAAGAAGGTAAGAGCACATACAGAGGCAAGTCATCACATTTGCTATCTACAGTAAGTTTTATAACCTAGCCCAACTAATAGTAACTTCTTTACAGGCTTCTTCCAAATCTTGTAGGTAACAGAACGTTGTCTGGACTACTTTCAAGAATTATACCTGATCTCTTCCAAGCCAAACAAGTAAGTAAATAGATAGAGGTCAATCAAAATAGGCACAAGAAAAAGAACAACCATTTGGAAATACCAGTAAAAACAAATTCCTATTTCCTACCTGCTTTTCTGGAAAAGAGGACTGTGTTTTCATCTGTCAAAAAATGCACAGAACTGTTCTTATTTTCAGCAAAAACAGTATGCAAAAGCACAGACTCTTAAAATCTAAACTATTTCAAAATCTTACTGTATAATTACATTTATATTTACACGTGAAGAAATTCAGCATAAGGAATATGTTCAGATCAATTGATTTAAAGACTGTTCAAGAACAGTGGCATGAAAACAGCTTGCAGGAAACACTCCACCCACTTCCCCGTCTCCTTTATTATTTCACATTCCAGCCCGTATTAACTCACTGACACTCTGCAGGCTAATTCACTGCCTGGAAAACACAACAGTGCACTAACCAGTAGCTCAGCCGGCAGCTGTTTTGCACAGCATTCTCCAGACCCTAACCTGTGTTATAAAAGTAGTCCCTTCAGAAATACTAGGTAAATGGAATAAAAGAACATGGAAAGCAATGGGGAAGAGTGACTGAACACCTCCCGTATAACTCCAGCAATCACCTCATTCTTGCAGGACATATTAAAAGTTGGTTAAAATACTTTTTATCAAAGATCTGCAATGTACTTTTCGAAAGTGGAGTCTCAGTTTTATGCAAGGTGGTGGAATGGAAATGCTGCAAATCGGACTGCAGTCACAAAGCAGAGGAAATACAACTTTAAACTTGCTCTCTCCTACTAATATCACTTAAATGTTGACCCGTCCTTAAGTTAGGCTTATGTAGGCTTCACATATGTTAATTTCTATGCTGCATTAAGTTTTATTATTTTCTTAAAAAGACTTCTTTGGTAGTGTTTTCATGTGAAAGAGGTTTTATACAAATGACTTTGAATTCTCCAGCTGGTAGTGGTAAGTCTCTATGACTACAGTTTATCATTAACCAGGGAAGTACTGAATGCTTCTATTAAGGGCAAGGTCAGCAGCAACGCGAAATGCTTGATGTGAAAAAGATGAAGTTGACTAAAATCTTGCCAGCTCTGCTATTACTATTATTTTCCGATACCTATTGTAAGGAAAACTGAAAAGACATGACGCAGTAGCTTGGAATTTCGCTTGCAAAGTAAAAACATGTTGCTACGGACATTCACACTAGCGCTTAATGTGATGAAAGCGCAGTCTTCAAATAAATGCTAGCTGGCTTTAAGCCTAACCCTACTGAACAGTTGAACCCGTGCATTGTTCATTTCTTCCTTTGTTTGGAAAATACACACCAGGAAGCAGTTGATCGGCTGACGCAAGAAGAGAGCTGACAATTAAAGAGAACTGAGCCAGCTCCTTATCACAGTGAATTAAAAAAAAAAAGTCCAAGAATTTGGATCAGACATCTTAAAAAAGCCTTTCATTTGGTAATCTTAATCGTTAAGACTGGTGAAAGTCCACCCTCAAAGGGTATGGACCTGCTGCTGAGAAGACACCTGACAGGACTGCACCTACAGGCACGGCAAGATCTTAACACCTGCTCCCCACCACACCACACCTAGTCCATACAAAATGGTAACTCGTGACCTACCTCCTGTTCCATTAACTCCCTGTGCCTCCTTGCTGCTTCGTGCCTCCACAACTTCAGAGCCACCACCGCGCTAATTAGATAGATGATCACCGTGACAAACAAGAAGATGATTGCTGCTGTCTGACCTCCCTCTACCCGGCAAAAAGAGGCGTTTATCGGCGTCTTGAACAGCTGGTAGTAGCAGAGCCCGCCTCGGTTGGTATCGTTCACATACACGATGGCAGCCGACATGTACAGCAAGAACAAAGCCACGTTAATTCCGAACTCGGTCAGCGGCCACCAGTTGGAGTCCAGCAGGATGGTCCGGTAGTACATCGACATGCCCAGCACCAGCAGCACTATCGTGACGATCCACGCCAGCCCCGCCACGACCAGGACGAAGGGCGTCTTGGGCCCGCTGTAGGAGTAGCCTCCGTAGGCGCCGGCGGCCCCGTAGCCGTAAGGCTGCGAGTACCCGAACATGTTGTACCACTCGTTATCCTTGTGCACGTAGGCCGTGACGCAGGCGAAGACGGCGGCGCCCAGCAGCAGCTCGGCCACGCAGAGGATCCTGAGCAGGCCGGCCCAGGACTTCATGTAGGCGTACCGCTGGTTGTAGGCCTCCACCCGCTCGCTGTAGGCCCGGCCGGCGCCAGAGCAGGAGGTTTGTACTTGGCCAGCAGCGCCACATCTTCACTGGTCCTTGGCACGCTGGGAACGATGATCCGGTTACCTCTATCCCACCGCATGAAGTTGACGGGGCGGCTGTCCTCCCTGCTGCCGGGGACGTGCTGGGGGGCCTCCCGCCGGCCCACCTTCACCTTGATCTTCTGCATGAGGACGGGGCGTCTGCCGAAGTCGAACACCACCCACTGCTCGAAGACGCCGAGCGTGCAGCACTCCATGCAGACCTCCACCAGCGCGGTGCCGGGGGAGGAGGGCAGGGTGGCCACGTGCTCCCCCCGGACGTAGTGGAGGCCCCGGGAAAGCCCATTCCCCGAGAGGTAGAAGTTGACTCCGGGTTCCCGCTTCAGCAGTGCCACGTGCTGCAGACGCATCTGCCGGTTGAGGAGAAGACAGGGACATGGTGAGGGCAGCCCACGGGAAGAGCCCGGCGGCTGATGAAGTCCTCCCACCAGCAGCTCCCACCAAAAGCTGCTCCAGGAACTGAACGCCGTGCCAGACCTACAGCGCACTTGAACATCTCCTTCAAGGGGCTTGCTCCTTGTGCAACCCCACAGCAATTATTTTAAGGTCTTAAAGAACCTCAGGCTTCAGTTTTATAGCAAAAACTATAGTTTTATTCAGTCTGCTGTAAATGGGAAATCTCCTCTGCTGGAGAGGACAATCCTTGGAGGGGTTCAAAAGACACATGGATGTGGCACTGCGGGACGTGGTTTAGCAGGCACGGTGGTGGTGCTGGGCTGACGCCTGGACTGGATGGTCTTAGAGGTCTTCTCCAACCTTAGTGATTCTGCAGAGAGCAAAGTCACGAGGACCTCTGCTTGGCTGTCGGATTTTCCCTGTGATGAATTATGGAAGCGTTTCCGAAAATGGAGTCCATAGTAGTCTGACATACAGCATGTATTCAATTTGTATTTTTTACTATTTTATTTATGCTTTACTTACATTTTGTGTTCATGTGAAATATCTGTGCCAGAGTACAAAACAGCATTAATAGAGTGGGAGTTTTATTTACACTGTCAGTGTGGGATATCCATCTTTTTACGTATGCAGTACAGTCTCTCCCTTCAGAAGGTTCAAACTTCCAAACAGCAATCTTTCTGAAGCTGTAAATTTTAACAAAACCTTCAAATGCTGACAACTTATCAAATGTAGGCTCCAGAAACATGCTGTACAAAAGCAAAGTAGATAAAAATGTGTTAAATATAAAGAGTGACACTACCTATCTACAGTCTCTTTTGAACTCTGTTAGTCTTAACCCAGTCTCTATTAGTCTTAATTTATTGTCACCTCTTTCTGTAAGTATGGGTAACTCTCATGGCTCACAACAGGGAGGGAATGGCTTGTGATTCAGTAGTTAGCTCAAGTCTGGCCCTGCAAAGCTAAAGGAAACCTCAGGAAGCTTGCCTTCATGCTGACCTGGCCTTCTAGCCCACCCGCATAGCTAAAGGAGTACTTTCATGCAGACTATGCCCTCTTTAGTGAAGGTCTTTGCAGCGTATTAACCTATTCTGGTGAGTTAGTGGTTGATATTTTGTTATATTCAGTCACTATCCTATTCCTCTATTTCTAATTTATCTTCCTCCATGATTGCTTGAGCTGCAGCAGGCAGATGCTGACTGCAAGGCTGTTTATTTCGGCTGTATGGCTGGATGTAATTTTATCCCATTTTTTCTCATTCATTCTTCTTTTCTGCATTTGTACAGCCATCTCCACAGCATTCACATCAGCAGGGTCCCCCTCCTAACTAACAAATAATTCTGGTGTGCCACAATCTTTATTAATAAGTGTTTCAAACTTTAACCTGTAAAATTATAATGCCAATGGTAAGTTACTGCGGAAAAAAATGTTTCCTGCTCTCTCAGCACAGAAACTGCAGTATAAAGGACTGCCCACACACTACACGGGTCTCTGCCCTTCACTGATGCTCAGCTTTTCTGACAGTAATAACCTCTATCAAATTTGTTGGCAGTAATATTCTCTATTCACCACCATTAATTAAAGCCTTACACATTCTTGTCTTACATCACTGCCATTGGTATTACATTTTTGTGGCTCTGTACACATCTTCCAATTACAGGTATTTGTGCCCAGAACTTAACAGTACGTACCTTACATGAGAATGCACAGAACACATCAAAGTTCCTCTCAGATAAAGCTTGAAATGGTACACACCCAACATATTAATGCAGATACAAAAAGTTTGCCAGTATCTAAATGTATGCCGCAGACAAAATTAACGGCATAAGGAAGTCGACAGTTAATTTTTAAAGTTATAAACATCTTGGCTTAGTCTAGGGAGATTGCAAAGAAACACACCAGTTCGGGATACCTTCCTTTCTTCCTGACCAGCAATCAGAACAGTGTTCAATATATTTAGTGGGGAACAGGGTCATTCTTGGGTAATATAGCCTTAATCTTACAGGCAGGTATTTCATAGTTAAACTCAGACAATAGTACAGTCATAAATATGAAATACTTTGTTGGATGCCCTGACAAAGTTTCTCTCTTGGCTAAAAAAAGAAGTTAGTCCCATTTCAGTTAACTGTGATCACGATCCTTTACTAGAAAAGACCATCACAATTAAGTCTCTTTTTTGATTGCAGAGATACCGAGATTATAGAAATGTAACCGATGCTTTACTGGCATAAATGATCCCGATGGTTCAGAAGGCTCACTAGAGTCACAGTATAGCATGCCACGCTGTGTCACCCCATCAACGCTATGCAGTCTGTAAGTAGAGCACTGCAGTCTCACAACTGGATAAAATTAGTATTTTTTGAGCATTCTGACAGTTAAAACAGAGGCACTTCAGTAGATGTAGTTTTATAAAAAACTTTATTCTAAACAAAGTTGTACACTAGGTAGTCTGACAGGCAAAAATTCCACAGAACAAAAATCAGTGCTGATCTAATTTCTAAAGAAGCACTTGTTAAATTATTTTTGTAGTGCTATAGGTGTACAACTGAAGGAAAGAATAATCTCCCACTATGCCTCCTTTATTACACCTCTCACTAACACTACATGTAGAGAACGTTCTATCACAGTACCAGATGAATGTTTCGTGTCATGATAAACAATGGGCAAAGCGCACCACACCCCTTTGTGTCAGTTCAATTTTACTCTCGCTTAAACCTTTTTGTTTGCAAAACCAAAGATTTTATCCAGATCATGCACTGACAAACAGACCTATGTCTAGGTCAGAGAACTATTATTTGATACAGTGGAAGAGAAAGCTGAACGAGGATTAAAAACAAGATTGTAGTTAAAATGTTGCTACCAACATTGTAATTCTAAGTAGATTTGAACTGAAAAAATTTTAAGAGCCAAAATATAAAATTATGAAAGTGAGGGAAAGTCTCAATTACAGGTGTACACTAAAGATGTTTCTGTAGGAAAGAATACTTTTCCTTCATTTATTAAGAAATAATGTGTTCTTAAATATAAGTGCATGTCAAGTTTACCTCCCAAAATGTCTTTTCAATGGCAGCTTCCCAACATCTTGGATAAAGGCAATCAGAGCTGAGAAAAATAATCACCAGCATCATACTGGGTAGCTCACAGTGTACACAGAATTAAAGACACTGGAAAGAAATAATTGGTATGTTTGGTTAAGTGGTCCTGTATACATTTGCATTATTTTGGATACCAAACTAGTTTACACATTATTTGAAGTGTTTAGGATATTACCATAACATATTTACAGATTGCCTCCATGGAATATTAAATACCTACTCTCCGTCAACTGTGTATTCATTATATAGAGTTATTATTACATAGCCTGCAAAATTATTTAATCTGGATGGTAAAGCCTTAGTTAAGACATAAAGCCTTTTATTAGAAGTAATTAACATAGCATAGGTGACCCAGCTGCCTGAGCAGTGATTTTTGGATTAAATGCCATATACGGTAAATACCTGCTAACGGATTGCCTCATGTTACACAATTTTTTTAAATACACAGGAAACTTTGATTTTGTTTACTTTGTTTGGGAAAGGCTTTTTAAAGCCTTTTGTATCTGCTTATGTTACTTTAAAGGGATCAGTAAGCAATGAAGGTCTAGTTAATATAGTCTGTTCCAAAATAGTTAATACAGTCAATTTCCAAAAGGCTTCCCACCAAGTCCCCTAAAGGCTTTTAAAAGAAGCCTTAAGCCTTAAAAGAAGTTTAAGCCTAAAAGAACGACTTAATAATAAAGTCTGAGAAATAATGAACAGAAAGGAAATGGGGCAGGGGAGTATGAACTAACGGTTAACTGCCGTCGTGGAAGAAAGTTGCCCATAAAGTCCCGCAGAGATCAGCACTGGGACCTGGGCTATCCGGATAAGGCAGTAGCTCCATCTGAACACACTCTGGTGGTAAACAGAATATTAAATAGAGATTTTGCAGCAAGACAGTTTTCTTGATACTGTAAGAGTTGGTGGGGGGGCGGTGAGAACACGACACAAAACGTGAGTAAAAAACCTGCTAAACCATAATTAAAGTATATCTGTTCTGTACCATAAAAAGCAGCATGATGACTTTAATGACTACACACAAGCTGCTGACAAATGAGTCCAGAAGAGAGATAAGCAGTTGGGGTTAACATATACAGATCATAAAAATGGTGAATTGCTTCATTTTTGCCTTCACTGGATATTAAAATTTCCTGACAATCTTTGTCCTTTGATTATAGAGTTCACCACCAGTGCAGTCCAACTTTTTTTTTTTTTTGCTAAATCCTGCTAGAGTATTGATTCAAATGTAGAAGACTGCGAAGATCTTTGGTATCTCATGAGCAAGCTATTTCTGATAAATACATAAAACACAACAGCAGTAAACTGCACAGACTTAAACACATTTTTAGGAATACTTTTCAGTATTTCAACATTAGTTGCATCTCCACGAGTGCAGGATTAAGATTTTACCAGAAGTATGGAGAGAGACTAATTTGGACACAGAGCAGACTTTCTTAGAGGCCCCCAATTTATTTTTCCATTAAAGGAACAAAACAAATGTACCTCTTCAAACAAGTATTTTTTTAGAAGTAGTGTATAGTAAAATTTGACAAGTTTATTTGACAAGTTTAGTATTGCATGCAAATCTCATCTATACTACTCACTTCTCTAAGAAATCTAAGTGTAATACCTTCCTCAAAACATCAATCATTTACCTTTAATTGATAAGGAACCCCTGGGGTTCATATAAAGGCCAGAACCCTGTTCTTCCTTGCCAGTGGGCAAAGGCCTTGAATGCGTTTGATTGTATCACCCCTCGGTTAGCCATAGATGCACAATACTTTTCCATCCTAAATTGTGACCAAGATAGAAATTAGGCATTATATGAGCCCAAGGTGTCTGTACAGCGTGTCTCTTTTGAAGTAAACCACACTCTC